AATCGAGGGGCATTTCACTCCAAAAAAGCGTACGGGATTTTCGGATTTTTAAAAATCCGCGGATTTTTTAGCGGATTTAGCGGATTTTTCCCGGATTTTTTAGTGGATTTTTGAAGAGAAAATTTGCTGGATTTTCCGGATTTGTTCGGATTTTCCGGATTTGTTCGGATTTTTTCTGGATTTTTGAAAATCTGTTGGATTTTCCGGATTTGTTTGGATTTTCCGGATTTGTTCGGATTTTATCTGGATTTTTTTTAATTATAGAGTTATAGAGCTAGGTAAAGGTTTTGAACAAATAATCTTAAGTTGTACGACGTCAACGTTATGCCAGAACGTCAGGGTCGAGCAGAGGACTGGGACTAGGACCACAGCCTTCAGAAACTAACGAAGGCTGGGCATGCAGTCATTTTGTTTAAAATTCAAACAAGTTCATTATTCTTTCACAAACAGTAAAAGACAATGGTGAATAACTTTTGGTTTTGTAATTATATTTTACAACATAACGTCATTGTAACAAGAACACATATTTAGTAGTAATAGGCTAAAAAAACTTAGCATATACTCGAGCGTTCTCGAGCGTACGAATGGAAATGTAGAGTGGTCGAATAATTACGAAATATAATGACAGCGATCAAGGTAAGTCCGGTAAGCGTTTAGCTTTCGCTGTCTGCCATTTTGAACGTGGCAAAGAACCTTTACGAGTAAATTACACCAAGTACTTCATATATTTTTTGTGGATTTGCGGATTTTTTAAGGATTTTGAAGGATTTCTGTGGATTTTTGAAGGATTTCTGTGGTTTTTAAAGGATTTTTCGGATTTTGATGGATTCAACGGATTTTGAGGATTTCATGGATTTTTTCTGGATTTTTTCCGGATTTTTTGACAAAGTGTACGGGATTTTTGGAGTGAATTGCCCCTCGTCAGTGTAAACAATTAAATTGTAGTCAAGCGGCTACCAAATTGACTCCTAACTTCTAAATTTCTGATCGTATAAACTTGATTTAAACATTTTCCGTTAGCCTATTTCTCGACGATTAAAAATATATAAAATTTACCTTGTCTTGGAGCAGCGAGTATAGGAAATTTTGAAGAACAAATCAATTTCGCGCGTTGAAATTAAGTGGTCTTATTAATTTTATATTGATTGGAAAAACAGGTTTTACTAGTGATGAGAAATTAACCAATCGTATGCAATCAAAATAATTTAATTATCTTTCGACAAGCAATCGCGTGAGTTTTCACAGACTGTAGTACAGGGTAATACAGGATGTGCACAGGCTAAATCGGGTGTTGGGGCATCAATTTCCCGTTTGTAATACAAAATGACTGAAAATTACAAATTTCGCAAGGCTCAAGACAATTATCCGCATTTTACAACATTTCGCAACGAAACTTTGGAATATTACTAATTTTGTGATGCTCTTTCAAGCTGTGATGAAATTTTTGTCTAGATCAAAATTTAGTCTATAATGCAAATGGTCCATTGGAACACAGTGATTGGAATCATCCATAATTTATACACTTGAATGTGCCGTACGATAACTCGGCGCTCGAAGTTTCGCATCGAAAAAGGAACAGCCGAACAGGTACGATGGTTAACAAGAATGAGTGCACTTATCAACTTATCTAACGCGAGGAAAAGATCAAAATGGCAGGTATGGCTGTGATATCTAGTATATAAAATTGTATAGACAATTTGCCCTTCAATAATCATATGATTCAGACCAGGGGTTAAAGGGCAATGACAATGACATGCAGGTGACATTTAACATGTGCGAGTGTGCGTCTCACTAAATTTGCGTGTTTAATAATGTTTATCAAAGAAGGCAAAAATATATACAAGACAACCTCACATGTGGAATCTGTTCACTTACGCACTGCCTTGTGATGTAGTACAAGTACAAATACAAATGACAAAGCATTTTTTAAGGCTTTAAATCCTAAAACATAATTAAATCATGCGGCACATTCAAGATTTTAATATCGTATTTCAGCCGCGTTTATACTGCTTGGCGTGCATTCGCTGCTTTAAATCCTAAAACATAATTAAATCATACGGCACATTCAAGATTTTAATTTTAATATCGTATTTCAGCTGCGTTTATACTGCTTGGTGCGCATTCGCTGCGTTATATTAATTTATATGCCTATCAGACCAGAGGCAAAAAAGCACAGCCACATACCAAATTTAAGCAATCGTGAGATTATATACATGGAAAGAATATGGAAATTTTGTTAAAAGCACCCCGTATAATGACGAAAGCACCGCGCATAATGCTCGAATCACTGCGTATAATGGGCGAACGCACCGCGTATATTGGCGAAAGCACCACGTAAAATGCTCGAACCACTGCGTATAATAGCGAAAGCACTGCATATAACGCTCGAACTACTGCGTATCGACAAAATACCGTTTGATCACTTACGCCAGCTATGGCTTTCCATAAAAGGTCATAAAAGAAAACCAAAGATGATTTAGATGAAAGATGATCACATTGCTTGTTTGCCTTATGCCTGTTTATTAGGCAAGAATAGCCTGCCGGCCCGGAAGCAGTGCATTGTGGTAGGCCGAAATACGCCGAAACGATCGAGATTTCATCTGCCTTATATATATATACATATACATAAAGATTAGGGCTGCTGCCTCGCTCGCTCGCTCGCTCGCTACGGCAGCAACTAAAGTAAAATATAAACCTGAATATATAATAAAGTCAATTTTCCGCCACAAGTTCCCCTATTTGATCGAGAATAAATCAAAGATATGTCCTGGTCTGGTTCATCTTCCTCTGAGATCTTTGTGATTCATTCCTCCGCAGCAGTTTGTCCTCTTGGTCTCTCGAGTTGGTTGTTGCTCTGCTACCCAGCACGCGAAGTTTCGTACCCGGACAGACTGAGAATTGTAGGCCTTTTGCCGCTAAGATTTCGCAGAGAACTTAAGGATCTAATACTACTATTTAAATGTCGTTCCGGTGCTATACATCTAACTGTGATAAATATTTTTCTCCAGTTTCAAGCCGCTACTCAACTTGAAACTTTGATCCGAACAATCTTAAAATAATAACTGACCACAAGCAAAACTATTACAGAAACTCTTTTTTTTCCAAGAGTTATTGAACTATGGAACAATCTACCACATGGTTTAAAAAAATTCCAGTGTTGCTAATTTTAAATCAAAACTGCATGCATATTTTTCGGACAGGTTGCAAACGTACATACCGCCGTAATTGATTCAGATGCAGTCGGACTTCTAAAATTGGATATTTGCATTTTTAGTGTGAAGTTTGAAGAAACTTCACAGTATTGTGATGACTGGGGGGAAATTCAAACGAAACAGTCAGTCAGTCAGTCATACAGTAAACTTTCCGGGGGGGTGTATACGTCTTATGTTCGTAGTGATATCGTACTTAGTCTGTGCTTTGAAGGTTATTTAGGCAATTTCAATTGTCTTTTTTGCCAAGTTTACAAAAAATTCGAGGAATTGTTGTCGTTATTGTAAATTTTATAACATGCGTTTCTTATGTTGTGTAAAGGATCTTCACCCCGGAACACCCGATTTTTCCTTTAGCAGCGCAAATGCGCATGCGCTATCAAGCCGTAGATCACGATGGCGTGACGATGCTAGGAAGGAGCGAGACAGTGTTGTTTTGAAATGTATAAACATTTCAGACGTGAATATTGAGTAAATCTTCGAGAATCTACGCAGTATATAAATTGATGTTATGCATTCAATTAAGTGCCGATATTATTTAGACGGTATATTCATTTTACAGAGCTAGCAAGGAGCTAGTACAGTGCTTTTTTTTCAAGTGTATATATTAAACATTTCAGACGTAAATATTTGGTCGAAATTCTTTGAGATTCTAGGCATTCAATTGAGTGCCGATATTATTTTCACGGTATACCCATTATACAGAGGTAGGAAAGAGCGAGAGAGTGTTGTTTTCAAATGTATAAACATTTCAGACATGAATGTTGAGAAAATCTTTCAGATTCTACGCAATATATAAATTGATAACGTTGTGCATTTATACCGGCGCCCAGTTAAGTGCCAGAAGATATATACAAAGCGTAAACAACTATTACCAGTAAACAGAAGCGGGCGTTTGTATGGCGTTTACGAAGAAAATAACTTGTGAGTTGTGATCGAGACTAAAAGAAATCAGTTGAGTCTGCAGAGCTCCTTATTTAAACAAGAAAGACGAGGAGTTATAGCCAACGTGTTATCGCCAATCGCTTGGCTTGCCAACAAGCTTTATGCAATAAAAGACAAAAGCAAGGAGGTAGCCAACGTGTACCGTCACGGACTTACTTTGTTTACTGTCTAGCACAACGTCAACAGTGCAAACTCGTGTTCAGTGCAACGATAACTTTACCAGATCTTACGAGAATCAATCTGTACACAGAGCCGTATCAAAGCTTGACATTATTGAATACATGCGAAAAGCTGAAAATGACTCATGAAACGCAATGTGACATTGCCATTGGGAATATGAAGTCAAAGGTCAATCCAACCCAGTGAACTCTAAGGGAACTGGAACGATAACTTGGCGGCCATCTTTGAAGCCAAATTGAAGGCCGCCATGTACGTATGGAGTGGAAAATACGCCACCAAAAAGATGTCTGTTTTCGACCACTAAATAGCTGTATTTCAACAAGGAAAAAAGCTAAAAACTTTCAACAATACCTGAAATTTAATACAAAACATGTTTCCAGAACGTAGAGCAGTTATAAAGTTCTTTTTTCAGGAGTCAAAGTGCGAAGTTTTTTTCGGCACGTTCAAACTTGTGTAATATTTTGAATTATCAAGCTGTTACCCAGGAAGTTTTTGCTGTTAGTGGATGTAAAATACTTAGAACTATCCAGGAAACCAGGTTTGAATCTTTAAAGTTGAAGCCTTTTGATAAAAAAGTACTTTTTCTTGCTGATTTTCGCTCAAAAACAAACTTTTGACTGAATTTCCCGCTCCTCGAAACTCTCCCCAGTCCTTTTGAAAGTTAATTTATTGCTGGCCGTGCCATTGAACTATAAATAAACTGGAAGGCTAACTCAGGGGAGGAAATTGAAGCCAGTGTATTTTAGTTTTTCTGAGTTATGAGCAGAAATACTCAACACTGAACGTTGGGCAATATATCAAATTGAAGCTATTGAAAAACGCTATGTGGTGTAGAAATTTCAAGACTTTAGCTAAAAGGGAAATATTGAAAAACTACAAACATAATTACCGATAATTTGCCGTTTTGCAGTTGTTTTTGTATTTTTTAAATATTTTCCTTTTCGCTGAAGTCTTGAAATTTCCACACCGAATAGCAATTTTCAATAGCTTCAATTTGATATATAGCCCGACGTTTGGGGTCAAGTATTTCTGCTCATAACTCAGAAAAACTATTTTGGCTTCATCAAATCATAGGCCTTCATCATAGCAGTTAGCCTTCCAGTTTATTTATAGTTCAATGATCCAACCTCGTCCCCAGGGTCTTCCTCAGCTCACGCGCCACCACGAGGAAGACCCTGGGGACGAGGTTGAGGTCAATCAGACTTGTTATTGTAAAACATGTCACAAGTTAACATGCGGAAGCGGATGGAGCGGATCCACGGAACGGATATGGGGATAAAATATAGAACGGATGGGGATAAAATGCGTTCTTTTAATGATACAACGTCGTAGTGCTTATTATTCATAACATATCTTATACAGCTATTTGGGTGATAGGAATAATCATATTAAATAAGTTCAGCGTATCAGTAGCCTCGTTAGGATGCTTTTAGCGACAACTGCAAATGCAAATGAAGTTTTAGAATATGCAAAATTTGGGTGTTGGTGAAACAATTTAAACTTCAAGTTATCGCGTGTCGCATCACAATAAATAAAGAAATTGTATCAGTTCCACGAGGCACATTTCTGATCTGTTAGGCTTGTTTCAAACGTGGCGCTACTCATGTGCCGAACGCATTATAAAATAGATGAGATGCCTTTGGTAAGTGTTTATTTCGTAGTGTAAGCCATCAGCCTTTCTAGGTTGTCGGCAACCCTATATAGTTCTTGCAGTGTCTTTTTCAATTTGAAACTTCACACTATCCTTGGATCCCTAGTTATTGTATTGTTCTTGTTGGGGGTCGGTTGTCAATTGGGAATTGTTTCCTGTTACCTTCTCCTGTCACTGTTTCTGTAAATATGTAATTGTCCTTCGTTGTAATTGTGACAAATTCATTAAATTATATTATAGGTAAATTCTAAGTTTTGAAGGATTTGTAAGAAAAGTTTGACTCGATGTTTAACACCAAGTCAGTTTCCTCAAATATTTCTTACAAATCCTTCAATACATTAGAATTAGACCGATGCAAATGTCGTGGGATGGTCAACTCTTTCTTTTGCCAATCTTGATTTTATTATGATCAATCCTCCAAAATATATAACAGAAGTATGATATTTCATCACATTTTCTCCTACGGAACTACTTATCATTTATAGACCCGGAGCGAGGGGGATTCTGCGAAATAGTATCCGAGTGATGATATTTCCCGAGGGGAATATCATCACTGAGGGTAATATTTCGACGAATACGGTCCGCCGAGCGGTCTATAGATACCGAAAGTTAAATAACCCACTAAGTTGAGAATAAACTTGCTGAATAATTAAACGAATACAATGTTTAATTTATTATTTATACCTGAGTTTTTGACGTTTTCTCTTTAAAATATTTGAGCCTGTATCCTAACAACTCACGAACGTCATATTGTTTCAGCGCGTGGTGTCCACGCGTCACGCGTGAGATACTAGAGAGGTTAAGATATACTCCGGTTTCGGTCTACGTGTACGGGTAGCATGATTTCGGTTTGCAATATTTTCGTCGATGTCTGTACCTTTACTCGTAATTAAGGTGCACATTTTTCGCATTATATCATTGTCTATTGCAAGAAAACAGAAAAAGTATGATTGAATTACAGACAACAGTAAAACAAGATGACACTACTCGTACCCGTACACCGAAACCGAGGTATCTTAACCTCTCTACTATAATATCCCACGGTAGATCCACCGTGGGATATTAGAGAGGTTAAGATACCCCGATTTCGGTGTACGTGTACGGGTAGCATGATTTTGGTTAGCAATATTTTCGTCGATGTCTGTACCTTTACTCGTAATTAAGGTGCACATTTTTCCCATTATGTCATTGTCAATTGCAAGAAAACAGAAAAAGTATGATCGAATTACAGACATCAGTAAAACAAGATGACACTACTCGTACCCGTACACCGAAACCGGGGTATCTTAACCTCTCTATTATAGTATCTCACGCTGCGTTGTGAAATCATGAATTTGAGTGAAATATCGTAAAAAATCACATCACGCGGTACAAATGCTGTTTTTTGATTGGACAATTTGAATTTGAGGTATAATATTTTTATATATTTCCTCTCAATTTTGGAAATAAGCATTGTGAAATATACGCGGAATTGTATTCATTACGAGAAATGCAAACTGTACTTTATTACCTTATGAGCGCTGTCGGACGTACAATTCAACATCAAAGACCGTAATAGTTCCTTATTGGACGACATCTCAACAATACCACATTAGTCAACTGTCACAACTTGTAACGACCACAACTAGTTTTCCCCCGACAAGATTTGAGTATAAAAAGAGGTAACTGGATCTAGTTCATTTTCAGATTGTCCAGAAGTGGTGAATAAAGCGAAGGTTGGATACCTTCAGTCGCAGATTTCTTCAGTTCTTCAAGAGTACGTACGAAGTGAATATCGTGCTCAACCCAATAGACTTGCTAAAGTTCTGCTGTGTTTACCCACGCTCAAAACATACAGCGCTAAAGCCACAGAAAACTACACAGCGTTTGAGATGTTTGGAAAGATAGATATGCCACCACTTGTTCGAGAACTGTTTGAAGAATAGGACAAGATTGATGTATATCATCAAGGTCGTTATGGTTTAGACGTGCATGGTGTATTTTTGCAAATATTGATATGCTACCGCTTGTCAGAAAACTGTTTGAAAAATAGTTCAAGACTACTTCGCAAGAGGTAACTGTGTCATGTCAAGATATTTCATATGGTTTAAATCCATCAGAAATAATTGATATGTCTCTGCTATTTAAAGAACAGCACAAGATAGTTTCATGGGCAAAGATTTTTTTCATATACAAAGATTGTGAGGCTTGTGTCCTAGCCATGCCCAACATGTGGAGGAAATCAACTTGGTGCATTTTTCCTACGTTCAGGCTTGTTTGCTCCCCAACAAAATTAGCAGCGATGACGAATGAACCTGAACGACTTTAGACAAACCGAATTTCAGATTAGAAATGGTTCAACGAAAAACGATGCACTCAGGATAAAATTCATGCTGTTTTATTACAAAGAACTATTATAGATTATAGTTATAGGACTTGCTGAATAGTTGTTTTATAGTTGCTATTAAAGTCTATCTCGCAACCGACTTTTGCTTGCTCCGTTAAACCTGTTTCCACTATAGGCGAATTTCTTCGCATGAAGCAATTTTTCCTTTGTCCGCATCGCTTTTACTGACGTGATAAAAAGTTGCTTCGTAACCTTAGGGCTATACTAACCTTGAATCTACACTAAAATGAATGCACATACAAATCTCATCAGCTTATTGTAGAATACTACCTACACTGGAACACCATGTCTGAGATATCTTTCTGGTAGTTGAGACACAAACCACTGCTACATGCAGAATACTACCTACACTGGAACACCATGTCTGAGATATCTTTCTGGTAGTTGAGACACAAACCATGCACTGCTACTTGCAGAATACTACCTGCACTAGACCACGACTGGCACTTGGTATCAGGTTAACCTCGTTCCCAGGCTCTTTCCTCGAAGAGTGAATGATTTTCTTTTTGAACTGAATTTTCATTACCATTTAATTACCAATAATTTTACCAATAATGAATAAAGATTTCTATTAAGAAACTTTTATTAAAACCTTTATTAAAAAGTTTAAACACTTAAAAATTAAACTAAAAATTTAAAAGAAACTACTAGACGTTTCGGTCAAAAATCAAAGAGCTTCGGTTTTGTGTTTCACAGAAATCTTTCTGTCTAATCCTAATTATTGGGTAAATAGCAAAGTTGCAACCACCAATAATTTGATTCTAATTGCCAATCAATTTGATTCTCTAATTGCTCGATTCGGTGAGCACTTCTGATACATGTAGGAGCGAGACAAAAATGGTTGCGAGGGAGACTGTTGATACAGAAGAACATTTTAAATAAAATATCAAAGAATTTTGGAGGTCTGACTGGGGCAAAGACCAGACAAGTGCTATTGCACTGGCTGTCTCTCAGAAAACAATTTGCCTCGGTTTTGAGTGCCGAAAATTCTTTGATCACGTGAGATAGTGATTTTAATATGTTGGAGTAGAAATTATTTGATTGTAATGTCGATGTATTATGGCATTTAAAAAACAATTGTTCATTTCAGGTTTACTAGCTGTTAGAATAGTTCTATCAGTTCTTCCAGTTAGAGTCATCCTTGACGCAGCATTAAAAATTCGTATCGTCTCCGCGCCCATAAACTGACCTACCTATTTTTTGCATATTCACAATTCTAATTTTAAACAGCCAATCCGGTTTCAAGAACAAGGAAGAATTACTATAAAAATTTGCGGTTTAATTTAAGACAAGATGCCAACCTGATATTCAGACTCTTTACCTCCGCTACCTCCCACGCCGAAACCCGCTGGCGGAGGTGAAGACCCTCAAGCTCAGGATTCCACTCCGGCTGGGGCGACATAGGTACAGTATCAGCACAAAATAGGCACAGTATCAGCACAAAGATGCACAAAAGGAATGTCAGAAATTTAAATTATTTGTCGGTATCCAACTGGGATACCAGAGTTCAAAGTATCTGTACGCCAGTTACCATGTGTGAAGCTTTTCAGGACGCTATCTGCAGTATTCCCAAACATTAAATGAAAGCCTAAACAGCTTACAGTGTCTTAGGACATTTTTAGATAGGCTGTCAAAGTCATTAAGAGGGTGTGTGTGTTAAAATCCCAATTTGAAAAGTTAGCGCCACTGAAACGCTCCCACTAACATTGGTTGTTTACCATTTACATGGAAAACCCATTCGGTTTGAATTAAATCGCGAAGAGCCTGGAACTGGTGCAAAAATAAAAAAGATGTAAATGGAACAAAATTCACCGGTTGAAACGTTCCAATCGGTAAGAGAGGGCAACCTTTTCAAACAAACCGTTCATTCCGGAAGAGTTCCGGTTGGGCCGTCGAAATATGCTTGTTCCATTTACTTTCCGTATGAAATCATCGGAATTTCTATGGAAATGGTAAACAAAATGCTACACTCTGAAACAAAATGCTCGTGACCATTCTGTCAACTATCTCAATTTAAATTATTGGCCGCTTCCCCCAAATACTTTACATTTGATAGCTGAGACTGCAATGAGCTGACAGAATGGGCAACGGCTCTCAGTTACCTATTATTTTCGGAACTAAATATTCATATCGGATTGATAAAGTTGTTTCGTAGTCGGATCGGATCGGAACTTCGATATCCGAAATAAAATGAATTAATTATCAAAGCATCATCGCGGTTGTCGCTGCATTATTCGTTTGATAATTCAATTGGACGTCACTTTGTCAGTTTCTTGACATGTATTTCTTGCTTTTATATTTATTTTAACTTGAATGAGAAATTTATTTTATTAAAGAATTCTTCGGATCGGATTGGAATTCTTTTTCAAAACTCGGATTCGGATTAGACAATATCGGATTTTAAACATCAGGCAATTGTCGGATTATATAAACGTCCGATCCGATGCACACCTCTATTACCTATATCCATAAATAACGCCAACGACGCTCCATGACCATAGAGTGGGAATTCGAGATTCCCCTTATTACGTTTTCGTAGCGCTTTGCATTGTGGTTATAGTGGTATCACTGATAAAGATAGCGGCCTCGAATGAAAATATTGAATGTTTTCGCGAATATTTTGCTGTTGGCTATCGCGCATCTGACCCTAGCTTTTTTTAAAAGTTCTTGCACGGGTCAGGACAAAAAATAAGCCATCTTGAATATCAGTGATACCACTATAGCCACAATGCAAAGCGCTACGAAAACGTAATAAGGGGAATCATAGGCGTACCGGGCGGGGGGGGGGGGCGGTAGCCCCCCAGTTTTTTGGGCAGTCGGGCAATATTCGATCAACAGTCGGGCAATTTTGGTTTGCAATAAAAAAAAATGGGACAAATTCTGTCACTTTTGTCTAAACTTAAGTAAATTTTTTGGCAAATTTAGTGATTTTTCGAAAATTTGTGTAATGTTCCGAAAAATATTGGTTGTCCGGAAAATTTTTTTGACCCCTTAAATGGTACACTGACAATTTTTCCGGAAAAAAATTTTTGGTACTATAGTCGGGCAGAATCCCGAAAAGTCGGGCAATTTTCTTTCCGCCCCCCTAATTTTCCCCTTCCGGTACGCCCATGGTTGTATTTACCAACATGCTACCGCTACAATCAGTTATCATGCACATCCCACATTTGTTGTGGATGCATGATTATAAATGATCTGTATTGATCATATCCTTACATATAATCAATCAGAATAAATTTGGTAAATTTGGATATGAAAAGAAGAGTCTCTAACAAAGCAGTGAAAGTAAATATTTTGAATATTTTTTACAATGACTGCAATTTTATTTGACAAATTTCATTTGATCATGCTAGCTTTTGTTTAGATGCATCTGTCACAATGAATTTGTCACAAATTTATCATCTACACGAGCAAAATATCTTT